CAGCTTTTTTTGAAAGTTACTTGTACCACGCCCGGGAAATTTCTCTTGGTTCGACCTCCTTTTCGGTGTCATTCTAGCAGGAGCACCTGATTTCTTAGTTCAAAGAAGTGGGTCTCTCTATTTGAAGTGAAGAAGAGATAGTTTGAGTTTTTGATCATCAAAAACAGTGGTCTTGATGCAATCACAGTAGTAGGGGTGTTATTTCTGTCTTTGTGTCTATCCGAGTCTGTGTGTGGCTGTCGCAAAATTTGGTATTTAGAGGGACTTGGTCAATTTTAGGATGGCTATGACATGAACCCATGCCAGAATGCAGAAGCTCATCTTCATATTCTCCCTAGCGTTAGTCCCGCGTAGTCGCAGGGTCCGCTAACAGAATGTGAAAAGCTATGTGAAGCAAAAGGAGTTGAAATGGATGTAAATGATGGCACAACGAGTAACCGTGTTCTAGACGCTCAACAGTGAATTGGCAAATTGACCGATTCCACGCACTCTAGTCTAACCATTCCGCGGTTTTGGCAGTGGGCTGGGGTGTAGTATTGTTCGATGTGATGTAGGTCCTCCCGTCACAGAACTACTTCATCTTGCTTTCTTAGTAGGACTGGTTGAGTGAAGGCGCAGTGCACTTATATTTGATCACTGCTATTTGTCTTTGCTGTTGGGGACCGCTTCTTAGAGAATACGGTTGTCAAAATGAATTTTCAAGAAATATTGGTATGCACAGCTGGATCCCTCACTATCGAGTTCGATTCCTGTCGTAGTTGAAAACTGCTTGACGTCGTCTCACGCTTTGTACCTTGCAGGCTGCTGCGCAGGCCACGCAGATGAGCAACTCTCGAACCCTCACACCAGCTCATATGTAAGTTTTGTGAGAATCTCTTGATTTGTCTTTTTTGTTGTTGATTTTCATTACAGCTACGGTTACATTCTCTGCTTTTTTATAGGAAGCAGGCTATGATGGCGAACCGACATTTTCATTTTCTTGCGGACATTTTCAAGGAAGTAGCGGTTCCCGGACGGATGGGGCCTGAGTTTGATCCAAACCTTTCGCGACAGCAAATGCAACTCTTACAGGTGTCGTTTTGAACTTCGCAAATTTTTGCAAAAGAATAAAATAAGGACTACTGAATATCGCAGTTTTGACCTTTATTTTCGCTTTGAAGTTTAAAAGCTAGAAGTTCTGAATGAGCGCGCACGCGTTTCGTAGGGATTGTACGAAGAGGTCGTGAAGTGATTAGAAAGTTTTCAAAAGTTGAGAAGAATAGTGTCAGTTTTGTAGTGTATCCATAATGTCACCTTTTTTCATTTCTTAAGGGATTCTGCGCTGCTCCTAATTCTAAGATTGTAATACGTGGAACACTTACATATATATCAGAGGGCTGGTAGATAGTCGAATTAGTTTGCATTCTAAAATAATCTTCTAGCAGTCCTCCATTAAACTTCTTGTTGCATTCATCGAAGCAGCCTTGTGCAGGCGGTTATTAAAATAAATAAGTTGTGTTTTTGCAGGGTTATCCGGCGGTTCCTCCTTGGGAGTGCAAGCCGTTGCAGCTTGCTCGTCTGCTATGGGGCGGGTGGTGGTCACAGCGATGGGTACTTTTTCGTAAGCATGGTTTCCCTTATCGGTTCCTGTCCCTGGATCTCTCTTACCAGATTCCAGTATTCGCTATTGTCGCGCGGTTGTTATGGACGGCAACCATTCTACTCAATGCATTGTTTTGAGTGCGTTTGTGTTCTGTATGTTGCTAGTCAGTAGGTGTAACCCAGCGAAAAATTTTATTGTTCTTTATTGGAATTTCCACCGTCATTTTTTGTTACCTAAGTATATGGTGAGACAGTACATTTAAATTGAATGTGAGGCGCATGATCGTTTTTGATGGTTTTATGCTATGTGTGTAGCCATCTTGCCGCTCCATGAGCCCCATTTGCCATCGCTGCGTCCTGCATCATCCCGCAAGGCGCTAACGGAAAAGGGTGCCACAGCGGGGGTGAACACCCAAGTGGACGCCACGCCCGATTAGCGGTGAAAGTTAGTGATTTTTACGTATTGTATTTCCTTGTTAGGTTTTTGTATGAGTTTGGTGTAAAAGAAAGACTCGAGCTGCTACTTGAGGGCGCCGAAACATCTCAGTTACGGACGTACAACACGATGCGATAGGGCTTGATAAGTAGGAGTGTTTTTGCTGTTGTTCTCGTTTGCGACATCACTTCGTACAGATTTTTCTGTTGGATTCGTCCTAAAGCCTAAATTTAGATGTCGACGACGAGCTGTGCGAAGAGGTAACGAATGGAATTGAAAAGGTTGGCATTCGTTCCGTTCAATATTTCGGCTTTATAGCGGCTTTGTTTATTGCTCCTCTTTTTATAATAACATATGGAGAATTGGTCAAATTCCCTTATTTTGGTATTATTTATTAGCAATGTTTTCTTAATTTTCCGCCGGCATTGGGGATTTCTGAGTTTTCTTACTTATATCCTGTATTCAGTGAGAAGGGTCAAGTCGCGAGTATGCCGCACGATCTTGTTTTCTGAATTTTGACTGTTAGCAGTGACTGCGCTTAGGTCATGGAGCTTTCGTTACGCTATTTTCTCTAAAAACATTTCCCCTTCCTTTTTTGCCTTCATTACGACACAACACCTCAATTTACGTACCACTATTTCCTCTAAAGTATCAAATACGACCCATCAATCTGCACACTATTATAACTGGACTTCTTTTCGTAAGTACCACCGATCCAGTTGAGGGCACACCTATGTGCTGTGGGTAAGCCTCCAGTCACTACAGACATCGCCCGTAAATGGAGCGCTCTTCTTGGGTGGGTTTTTCTCATCCGCCAACCTGCTACCTAATGTATTACATTTCCTGCGATCTGTACTAATTCTAGAAGCGAAACAGAGTGTTTTTGCGTTTTAGCCTCGGCTCTCGAAACTCATTGCAGAAGATGTTATAAAATCCGCTGTTCTTTGCCTTCCGTAGAAATTCCCCTGTTGTAATGGATAATGTACGCAAAGTGATTTTGCACCATTCGTTTCTTTTTTTTGGGGGGGGGGGGAGCGAAAAAAAGGCGCCTCACAAGCTTGGTCTGGTGGTCAAATCCTGGATTAAATCTCGCTGAAGCCAACAAGGCCTTCCACCCAATCGGGGTCGGTCAACTTGAACCAGACTCGTTTGAGAGGACAAGAACAATTGCACACTGGCAGCTTCTTCACCTCCTTCCCCCCACTAATTGTATAGACTATGTCGTGTTCAACTACGAGTCTGAGCATATGAGCTAAACACGTGCCGCACTCCAAGGAGTGGTTGTTGAACGCCGAACCCTTTATCTTCGCGTGTTTTGTGTAGGATCACTCAAAATCCACATGTATTAAGTGAGGCGGTTGTGCCTGCAAAATTACTGGATCTACGCTGCCCAAAGGCGTGTTATCGTTAGTGTGTCGAAAGTTGCAGTTTTCAGAAAATTGAGTTTTTGGAAGACAAAGTTTTGTGGGAGTTTCGTCCTTATTTTCTTTCCTAGGGCAGTATTCGACATGTGAAAAGGTTTCGTCAATGATCTGATTAATTCAGCCAAAGTTCTTTCAGGAGGATCAGGATCGGGCGCTTATGCCACCACCAGCACTTCCAATGGGGCGTGCCAGACCAGTCGCGTGATCCGGTTCTCGCATTTTCCTCGATGCAGTTGTCATTGTTTCTTTTCTTCAATACGAGTTCTTTAATGAACGACGAAATCTACGGACTTTTCCTCACATGGATCTGATGGTACAGTGTAGCATC